GAAGGAGGGCATGGAAAAAGAATCTTCCTGCACTTACTGAATAGTGAAAACAACAGTAAAGATATCAGGGTCAGGAACCCATGATACATATATTTCAGTCTCTTATACTTGTTTGCCTATAGATCTTTGGCGTGATACACCAAGTGGTTTTGGAGGCAAACTTTGATTTAAACTCGTGCGAATGGGACATCTGAGTTTATTTAGGTATTTCTTTACCGGCCTTATTTTCTTTTAAGGTGTAAACATTTATTCTAGATTAACTTAAATAACAAGTGTTCAAGTTCTTTTTGGTAAAACAGAACGTATTTGACATCTGATGTTTTAATGTCAACATGTCAAACAAACGTAAATATTGTTTACAGTGAATATTTTGTTGTGCGTATTCGCTTAATAGTTATTATATTGGCCTTACAATTTCAATTATTAACCTAATTTTAACATGGAGCCAGCCAAATTCCATAGCTGGGCGAGCAAACAATGTTAACTTTAAAGTTGAACGGAATCAAAAATCTGCAACTTTTTGTTTAGGTCATACAATTTTCATTATACTTGTAATAAAATCCACCTTTTTAAGTGGCACTTATATAGAGTTGTCTAGAGTAAGAAATTAATCCTATATACTGAAAGAATCACCCTTTTCAGTATAAATAATATTTAATACTATACCAAGTTTACAAGAATACTTCTGTAAGGTTCTGTATTAGTAATATAGTCTAGACATTTCTTATGTTCTGCAAAATTAAGGAATATCATCAACATAATTTCGTGTAATCAATACTATACAATGTATAAGGTTACTCTTTGGGAAGACAAATAAGAACCGCAAATGTTTGTCATTCACCATTTTCCTTCACTGATATTAAATAAAATGCATTCTTAAGTTGATCATGCATCTGAAGACACTTCAACATATGAGGAGTTTTAGAAATGGTTCTAGATCCATTGTTTATATTAATAGTAACATAATTTATTATAGTCCTTAATTATTTAATTGCCTGAAGGACCATTTGTTCTGGAATGTGAAGATAAACTGGCAAGTAATCACTTAGTCAGTTATCTACATATATGGTACAGTACAGCACCTTAGCTTTAACAATTTTCCTTCAGAAGTAAAATTATTTTGCTTTTACACCTATGTGGGTATTTTGTGGTATATTTGTCTGAACAGGAATATCAGTGATGGTAATTTATACCTATTAATCCAACTAAGTATGGTTGGGAAACCTAAAGCAGAACTCTATTGTTCAGAAAGGTAATGTGATCTACCTGTACTAGCGATGATCCGGACCTCAGTGCTGTGGGTAGAATTAGAAATTCTGTAGAGGATGCATCGGCCTTGTTGATTTTCTTGTAATCATGTGTTCGCTTTAGTTTTGGTTTTTGCTCACACACACACACACACACACACACATATTGTTTGTACATCACACAGTGTTTGTTGATGTGGTTGGCATGAAGTTGGTAGTCTAAAAGGTTTTCTTGGATGTTCTCCAATTCAAGTTTAGACTCTCTGATAGCTTTACTTGCAATAAACTTGTCTTGAAGCACTATTTATTACTGTATATATAGCTAGAACACCTATTTGTGTTCTGATCTTCATTCAGGGGCACATGTTAATAATTTACAGAGCAGTCTGGCTGTATCCTTAAAATCTTTAATAGGTTTGTTAATTAATTTGCGAACAGTAACTGCTCCTAGAGTCATTTGATATTCACAATCCTATCGTCTCACTCAATCCCATCTTTATTTAGTGGCACCTCCTCCCCTCCTCATTTATTTGAGACATTGGGAGGAATTAGGTTATAATAATTATGAAAAGGGAAAATAAGTGTAATCATTTGATAAGAATGGCTTTGTCCAACATGCAACACTATGGAATAGCTGGCTAAGGAAATGTCCCATTTCCCATAAGCATAGGTAGCAATTGCTCCGGAGTATATTTACTGACTGGAGCGAGACTATAGGAGTAGTTTCCAACTCATGTTGATTGGCTTCGGTGCCATGCCATGGTGAGCGGCTTCAACTGGAATGGCTTCATGTTCTTCTGAGGCAAAGCGAACTGATTTTAAGTTTCTAACTGCAAGGTAGTTTAAATGATCCACGGCTAACCTCTCGTGAAAGCTCTAGGATTGCAGTTGGAAATGTTTGACTAAATGTGACTTAAACCCGTGGCTAACCTCTCGTGAAAGCTCTTGTGGTTTGCTTCAAAGTCAAGTAACCAACGGCTGACCTCTCGTGAAAGCTCTTGTGGTTCGTTCCAAAGTCAAGTAAACCAATGGCTAACCTCTCGTGAAAGCTCTTGTGGTTAATTCTATAGTAGAGTTACCAACGGCCAACCTCTCGTGAAGGCTCTTGTGGTTCGATCTACAGTAAACATGTAACCAACGGCCAACCTCTCGTGAAGGCTCTTGTGGTTCGATCTATAGTAAACATGTAACCAACGGCCAACCTCTCGTGAAGGCTCTTGTGGTTTAATCTATAGTAAACATGTAACCAACGGCCAACCTCTCGTGAAGGCTCTTGTGGTTTCGATCTATAGTAAACGTGTAACCAACGGCCGACCTCTCGTGAAGGCTCTTGTGGTTTAATCTAGGTATATAGAAAACGTATAACCAATGGCTCACCTCTCCTGAGGGCTCTTATGGTACGTTTCAAGTGTGTATGTTGCGTACACAATCATTCTCAAGGCTATCCGCTTGTGGAAGCTATTGGAAAACGCCCCACAATGTGGTGTAAGTACCTACAAGAAAAAACTTACCAAACTGACGACAACGAATGCGTCCTCTCGCCGGTTTCGCCCAATTATCCAATTCCTGCATACACTCCATCAGTTTTCCTATCTGCTTGCGACGTTTTCGACCCATTTAGTAGGAAAATCACCAAATTAAATTGAAAAATTTTCCAGGGTACGACGTGACAGGTCGTGCACAAAGAAGTACAATGATGTTGCCAGTGAGATGACCATAGAGTATAAATATTTTTTTGATGAATGTGTTCATCTTTAAATATTGTGACAGCGTGCCCAGATTAGTGCCTACTACTAGTATAATTAGCGAGGATGACGCTACCTATACAATAGCAAACTTCCTTTTATTAAAAAAAAACATTTTACACTGAAATTCTCTTTCAGAAATTTTCCGAAAATATTCCAAAGAACTAGGACAACATTTTATGAATACCAATGTGTATGTAAGTGGAAAAACTAAGCGTATAAGCCTTACAGATCATGATAGATTGTACTACAAAGTTTTCCTAAGCCTTTGGTTTTATACTAAAGGAATACTACATTGATTGATGAGTCCTTCATTCAATTATACAAGAACTGGCGCGAAAATTCCGAATTCTGAATTTGAAAATGTTCTTGTCATTTTTTTTTCTTTTTTGTTGCTGCTCCTTTAATGGCCAGTTGTGTGTTGTATTTTAATATTTTAATGAAAAGAGGTTGGTTTATTTATAGATTTACATATGGAAGTTAATGGAGCCTTGTTAAAATAAATAATAGCTTTTTTATAATAAAATAAAAAATAAAGTATAGCTTAATTTGGTACAAAAGTGGTAAAATTATGTAGGTATCTACTATCTTATACCTTTTTTGAAACGGTTTAATTAATTTGACCCATTCGTTTGTTTGGCTCAAATTTTGTCCTTTTCTGATGACATATCTATCTGATATTTGGTACACACTCTTAATCTTAATGACCATAAAATATTATAATGTTAATTTTCTTAGACTATCTTCATAAAGTTCATAAGATACCAAACGACAGAGGTTGATTCGTGGAACAGAGCTCATTAAAACCGTTCAATTATTGGGCTCTGGCATGTATACTTAGTGTACTTTACTCGTTATAAATCTTTGTTCGTGACAAAATGAGTCCTTGTCGACTCGAGTTAGAAGAACTAGGACAATTCGTGCCTATACGAGAGTAGAACAATACCAAATTAAATATCTATACATACGTAGATACGTATAGGCACTTGTAGGCAAGAAAAGCGACAACTCCTCAAAGACAAGTGAAATTGTAATGAAGTGGGTACAAACGTTGATTAGACAATAGAATTCCAACCTTATTGTCTATGAAAATAAAGTCGAGAGTCTATTGGAGAATACTGACAGTTAGGTGTAGCTTGACGTTCTGGTGTCTACGCTTTATTTCGTTGAAAATATATTTCGAAATCTTATTGAAAATGTTCCAGTGAATGTTATATTTCCCGTCTATTATTTATTTATACAATGAAGGTAGAGGTGCTGCCTCGAATTCATTATTATTTTATAATAAATAATATTACGAAGTTCGTTTAAGAAGTTTCTTGAGTAAGTAATGCCCTCCAAATAATTTTCGGATTGAGAAATCGACCGTGATTTATTTATTACTGGATTATCTCAAGGTTTGTTGTTTGTTATAGTGAAATTACTTGAACAATTTTGACATCGACTGATGACGTGGTAGACGGTGACCTACTGAATAACTTGTTGGAGGTTCAGTCTTGCCTTGAACAATTCTTTGTGTGTGTTTTTTATCGAATAAGCCGGTAAATTATCAGATGGATGGATCTGATGGTAAGCAATCGGTGCCGCCCATGGACACCCGAAACAGCAAACGTGTTCATCTGCGTTTCTGGCCTTTTGGGGATAAGGAATTTGAGGTTTATTGGGGTTTCGGGGATTGGGGGGATTGGGTGGGGGTGATTGGGCCTCCAGTAACCCACACGACGAAACAGAAAGCAAGCGTAGTTTCACATCGGTTTCCTGTGAGGCCGTAGTATTACTCCGATCCAGCCGGTCCATTCGTGCTGAAGCATGGCTCTCCCACACTTAAATACTATGATGCGCTTAAATTACCATTTCGGTTTTAAATCAGATAGGAGCTCACATTCACGTATTGATTGATTTCAGTGTCGCACACACGACACAGGACAAAATCCTGACTACAGAGCAGTGATAAAACCAAAAGAAGTACTGTAATGTATAAAATAATAACAAAAGATTATAAACATACCTGCAGTATATACTTATCATCACTATACATGGCAGAATGAAGGATATACAGCTGGATACGACAGCATAAGTCGGAGTCAGCACTAGAGCACACGTGGGGTATCTGGGAGGCTTTTGGGTTGCCAGAGCCTCTTCATCAGGCCTGTGTAGCCCCAGCGATATGGGTAGGAAGCTCACCAGACCAGCTAGGAGCCAGATCATGGCTATAGTTGCCACTGCTACTCGTCGAGTTACCCAGCGTCCGTACCTGTGAAAAAAGAACTCGGTTTATGGTTTTGCCAATAGTACCAGGTTAAAAAGTAGCCTGTAAGTATTTATTATTTAAGACTAAAATCTATCTGCCTATCATGTGTTTAGTAATTTTTGAGTGAAAAAGTAATAACCGTTTCTTTGAAAAATGACAAAAATAAATACATTTAGGCAAATTACCTGATAATGTTAACAAAGTAATGACAGTTATTAACTTCAACAAATAGGTGTCAAATATTGAAATATTAAAACAAACATACCATTTGATTGTCATTAGAAATAGAATATTGCACGGTTTTATGTCTTAAAATCGGAGGCAAGCGATGTGATTTTATTACAAAATTAATTATTGCAAGTCATGATGTCGAGTTTTCGTTAAAACGTCAAAAGGAAGATTTGAATTACCTCTCAAATAATAAGGAAAAAGATTGTTTTCATCATAATGACTTTCTGTTTTGGGAAATTAAAAATGGGGTTCTTCATTTACATTTATCTGGCTCGACAACCCTTTTCAAAATGATAAAATAAACACAAAGGTAAAAGGATTTTTTATCTCAAAAACTCTAACTCAACATTCATATTTCATTATACTGATTCATACTCTTTTTAAACGACCTATAATATTCCAATAAAAAAAATAACCTGTCACATACGTTCTGGCATAAAAATACAATAGCTTTTGTAGAAAAAACAAAACATTCCAACAATTCTTAAAACAATATTTGAATTGTGAACGCATGTATAGTCACGAAACAAAAGAATTTATATTATAACATGAGCAGAAATATTCAGGCAATTTTCTTTTCTAGTCTCTCGTAACAGAGATCAAAGTTGCGTGAAAGTATTTGTCGAAAATTGCAAAACTGTCGTTGTGAGCTTCAATACTGAGAATGTAGGATAAGAAATGACAAAAGGAGTTCGGTATCACTTTTGCGTTGTTCCAAGTTATTGAATTGAGTGCTATAAGGCTCAAGTTGGGAATATTATTTCAGTTTGACAAGATATTGTGTATTTAATAATTATTATTTTGACAGAAGCGTTGGCGTAGTAGCTGGTTGATCGATTAAATGTGCTGTAGGCTGTAGGAATAATAGTGAACTTGCTTTACTGAGCAAACATTTGTTTGATGTATGCTGAGTAAAGGAAGTTTACTAATTTGATGAAAAGTCTGTAACTCGAAGTAGATACAGTAAATTGTTGAAACTCATACGTTTGTGATGATAAGCAGATATCTAACTGTATGATTATATTTTCAAAAACATGTTTTATGTAAATCGAATACGCATGTGTTTCTAGAAAGTATTAGTTTAAGGCATACCTTATTTCATTGTTATAAATAAAAAACGAAAACAAAATCTTTTGCTTGGGAGTTACTCCTGTGTCTGGTGTTATAGGTAAGCAGTACCCATGACACCAGAGCAGTTACAACTTGTTGTTGTACATATTTATGAACATTATTATAACTCCAGTCTTAAACAAGCTCTCTACATTCTCAAAAGCCTACTCAACTTAATGCAAATATGAGTTACTTCATGTAAAAGCAGCCTAATATATTTCGTAGGAAACTCTTTCAGAAAATTAATTGAAATTCTCGCTTTCTTTTTCACGCATACATTTAGTTGGAATTACTTTTATAATGGCCGAGTTCTTTGTAGCTTGGTTCTGTATTAAATAATGTTACAGAAATATGTTTTTTTTTAATGGGGGAAAATCATCGAATGACTTCTCCCGCCTGGGTGAGGCGGAGAGGAGTGGCAGACTCTTACTGACTAAAAACCACCCCGTTCCTTCTCCTACACTTCGAGCCGTAGCCCCGGTAACCCGTTAGGTTCTCCGCGATTCCGAATCGTCATCAGCCCTATTGGGCCCCATCCGCGGTGGTCTGATGGCTGTTTGAGCGCGCGTGGAACGCGACGCGCCGTACGCTCGGGACAGAAATATGATAGGATTTAATTTTTAGTAACATATTGATATTGATTGCGTCGTGGTGGCACGGAGATTAAGACGCTCGCTTCTCACGCATGAGGTTTCGGGTTCAAAATCTACCAACGCAACGGCAAGTACCTACCACTGACAAACGGTGAAGGAAAACATCGTCAGGAAATCTGGACTTACAATCTCAAATTATAAATTTAATACCATACAGTATATGTTTTGTACATCAAATTAACTACTCAGAAAATGAACATCGTAATGTTCATTCTCATTATAATATTTGTAATAAAACAAAAAGCTAGAACAATGTGCGTGTACTAATACTTTTAGTTTAACAATAGATCTAGTTAATATAAAGGCCTAGGTTTTATTATGATTGAAATTTGCGAATACAGGGCTTTAGGGACATTATTACGTGATCGAAGACTATTTGAAGCTAAAAGTTTATAGTTTTATAGCCTTTTCGTATTAGCTTATTCAAGGTTACCAACAAATCGTTATTTTTCGCGACATTATCTGTATGGGAAGCCCTTAAAATGTTATAGGTAGAATATCCAAGTTCTGCTATCTGACAAATGGTATTAATTACGATTAAAAAAACTGACTTCAACCAATCTTTCTGAAGAAGTCGGTTAATTAACATGTTAACCGCCACGTAGGTCACCGGTGACCTATGTTAGCGGAGGATTTGCCGTCAACAAGTTTTCTGTCGGCAGTCAAAGATTTAATATACTAACCTACTATTAAGTGTTACAAACACATTTCTGTTAGCCGCATCAAAATAATCGCGATAAGATAATCGCATAAGATAGTCGCGCACAAACATCACACAACCACATCAGTCACATAGAGAATCTCGTTGTTGGAGTCATTTAAAAAGTTATTGTATAGGGACTTGAAAATGACAGATTTCCATAGTGCCAATATTTTTTTTTTCTTTTAAAACGTTGCCCCACACTAAGATATTCTCCTGTATCGGAGGTTCATTTACAAACATACAAGTTCACATACACATGACACCCAGACCCGAACCAACAATTTGTGGATCACACAAAGAGTTGTTCCGAGCGGGAATCGTGGGAATCGAACCCAGCCACCGCGCCAACCATGCAGTTAAAATGCGTATGTTTTGCGTGTAAGTCTATAGTCACCAGGTGCTACAGTCGTTGTTTCAAGAGACTATTGCTGGAATACTGAAACGTTACTCAATTTCAAGACGTGCTTAAATATCATGCTGTCTCTGTCATTTTACAAAGAATTTGTAGAGATAGAACTATGCTTAAGCGCGACTTAAAATTGAGTAACGTTTCAGTATTCGGGCATATGTCCGCCTTTTTTCATCGTCCTTGCCTATACCTACACGCATGGAAACTAAATTTTTTATCGATGTTAAAACACTATATAACTGATAGTAGGTATCACATAACATAACCTTATTCCAGCATCAATATTAAATTGACGACTGTCACTCACTAGACCAAATAATAATGGTCCATTTCTCAGCCACATATCAATTTTATAACCAAACGGCTAACCGCACAATCCATACTTTGCTTTACAATTTTCATCCCTATTGCTCATGAAATAGGCCTCTGTCCACTATCAGATCATTTAACTTAAGTCAGGTTTATGTATTGGAAAGTAATTATTTTATATTGTTTTGTTTTAGTGAAATAGTGTTAGTTTCTGGGTCGGAAGATAGTACTTTCTTGTTTTATATTGAAATTGTTGTTTATGGTGGACTAACTGATACTGAATGTGTGTGGAGGTGGCCCGGAGGTATAAGACGCCTGCTTCTCATCCATGAGAGTGCGGGTTCGAAATCTACCAACGGCAAGTACCAATGTGATTTTCCGAGTTATATGTACTTGACGCCACTGAGAAACGGTGAAGGAAAAACATCGTGAGGAAACCCGGGCCGGTAATTTCTAATTATAAGTTTGAAATCGCCAACCTGCATTGAGCAAGCGTTGTGATTAATGTGTATGTGAGAAGAGACTTTGCTCAGCCGTGGACATTTATAGGCTGTTGATGATGATGAACTAATACTGAAAAGATTTGACCTACTAAACAAAAATAATTGCTGCTGGTAAAAAAATAATAATAATATGCTAATATAAATAAATAATATGCTAGTCAAGAGTGAATAGCGATATTAATTTTTGGTATTGACATTGACATTCGACTATTATTATTTCAAACTTAAGTAGGTACGACGTTTCTATTCACTATTCAAGAAGAAAAAACGAAATCTATTCACTTTCCATACACACACATAGAACAATCGTCTGGCTGTTCCGTCTTTGTTCTCATTTTGTCTTCTCGTTGCCGTATTCCAGAAATTTCTTTGACAGAAGTAAAAACTAGAAGTGTAAACTAAAATTCCCAGACACTAAACATCTTTAAAACAAATACGTATGTAGCCCGCGATTTTTAGTTAATCTTTATAACACGATTAGTTTCAAGCCGTGCTAGAGGCGCATTTCATGTGCAACATTCCGCAACCCGCGACGCGGCGTTACGTGAGTAAGTCGAAAAAATAATAATTAACCATTAGTTGTATATGCGAATGGTTCTCACCTCAAAGGGTCTTTGATGTGTATGTATCTGTCGAGCGAGATTGCGCACAGGTTGAGAATGGAGGCAGTTGAGCACATGACGTCACATGCTACCCAGGTGTCGCAGAATTGCTCGCCGAAGACCCAGTATCTGTGGGAGAAAAGTAGAAAAGAAAAACAGTGTTAATAATTGGTGACGATTTTTTTATTTCTAGCAGAAACTAGCATTTAAAGGTCATGTTTGTATTGTACTTATTGGAGCTCTTTCAAATATTTATTCTATCTTTTTAAGTTTTTTCTTGTTGTGATGACAACTAATTAATATTTTTTTATTTTATGATTATTGACCCACCAAAAATTGTATACATTAGTACTTTAAACAATAAACATTTTCATCGGATAACAGCAAAATGTTACAATCGAGTACAGGTGAGCACCTCATTCTTTAAAAAATATTTCAAAAAGCAAAATAAGACTGAAAAAAAAAAACAAATTAAGTTGCATTAATTGACATGAATAAATTAGCAATAAGGATTAATTAGAGGAAAAGAAAACATTAAATTAACCTTAAAAATAAATAAATAAATTAAATTATGTGCGATATGATGTATGAACTGTAACGATTCCCCAATTACAACTGGTCATAAACAGATGCAAACATAGAAATACTTTATTATATTTATGGATGCAAACATTGTTTCCCTTTAGCTATATGGATACGGAACCCTAAACATTAATTCAACTGAGCACTTTTGTTTTCGTACACGTATATCAGGGATTTGATACTGGCTAGCGTTAAAGTGCAGTCAGCACATTTGCTGCGGTGGATGGGGAACCGGCTGCTGACAACTCTTTGTGTGATCCACAAATTGTTGTTTCGGGTCTGTGTGTCATGTGTATGTGAACTTGTATGTGTGTAAACGCGCCCGAGACACAGGAGAAATCTTAGAGTGAGACAACGTTTTTATATAAAAAAAAATGATATTTTTCTCATAAGTTTCAAATAATTATATTTTCACTAACAGCGACTGGTGTTTGGAAGTAGATGCGCCATTCATATCCAAACGAAATAATAAATAGGTTGTTAAAAATGAATTTTTATAGTAACTGCATTCTCGTTTAAGTCTACAGCAATTTTTAATAGCTAGAGATTTATAAAAAACAAAAATTTAAAAACAAAACAGAACCCAAAAAATAATACCCTTCACTATTAAAACGTTATAACAAAAATATTTCATTTACCGACAATATTGTCTAAAGTATTCAGGTACAGAATTTAATTTATTGAAACATTGTATACAGAATACGTCAGTCAATAGCTTCAACAAACAAAGTGTAGGCTTCGTCAAATGTATACATTCATACCATTCATTGAATATACATTCATAAATGTACATATACGTATACACATTACCAATATTTGAAACGCCAAAATGATCGAGTTCACATTGTATTAAACAGTATTGTGTTGTATGATTTAATTACTAGTTCTATACAAAGACTGAATACTACTAAATTATAAATACATACGTTTTTTTTTTAAGGGGGGAAAATCATCGAATGACTGCTCCCGCCTGGGTGAGGCGGGAGGGAGTGTCAGACTCTTACTGACTAAAAACCACCCCGTTCCTTCTCCTGCACGTCGAGTCGGAGCCCCGGTTACCCGTTAGGTTCTCCGCGACAAATACATACGTATACCATATGCCTAAGGGTGCTTACATTCAGGTCATCATCATTATCATCAACAGCCTATAAGTGGCCACTGTTGACTAAAGGCCTCTTCTCACACGAAGAAGGTTTGAGCATTAATCACCACGCTTGCTCAATGCGGGTTGGCAATTTCAAACTTATAATTAGAAATTATAAGCCCAGGTTTCCTCACGATGTTTCCCTTCCCCATTTATCAGTGGTGTCTAAATAATGTTAGAAAGTACATATGACTCGGAAAATGTCACATTGGTACTTGCCGTTGGTAGGTTTCGAACCCGCTTTTTCATTTATGAGAAGCGGGCGTCTTAAACCTCAGGGCTACGACGACAAACAGGTGCCGACTACATATAGGTGCCAACTGTATAATCTATTTAGATTATATTGTAATTTTATACCTGTGCCGATCGGGACCGACCCGTACAGATTTGCCTGTATCGGAAACCTGCTTCTTTATGTAAGCACCCTAATATTCTCCGAAGAGGTTGGCTGAGATATATTTAGACTTGACCTACATTTCGTAATTACTTAACCGATGATAAAGAGCAAAGCCTATGATCAGATTTGTCTGTGGTTTTGGCTATTTATTTTGAGATCGGCACCGAGTTTTAAATGTATTAAAATTTTCTGTAGTTTTCAGTGAGTGAATACCGTCTGTCTATCGCAAATAGTTATGGGTCATAATAGAAAAGTAATTAAACTAATTTGATTGATCCTTTGACATGTAATATATGATCCTGTGATCAACTACACCGACTGCCTCGTTGGCCGAGTGGTTGCAAGTGCGACTACCGAGCAAGGGGTCTCATGTTCGATTCCCGGGTCTTGCAAATTATTATAAAAATTCTCAATGGTAGGACGGAGTCTAGAAATGTACCCGGTATATGGCAATAGGCTCACACCCTATTACATGGGACTCGTAACATAAATAGTGATAAAAAAATTATTATTAAAAAAACAAAATACCCGAATGCACACTAAAAAAAGAGTAAAACAAGCCCCACAATAATATTGATCAATCAAATGCTAAAAACTAATTATGTAATACCGTTTAAACAATACCTATATTAAAATACACTACAATATGTGTTCGTAATCGATAGTTAAATAAACAGAAACTTATTTTGAATACAAATTTACTGAATATAATTTATAAATGTTGATGGAAAGCATCGCAGGCGGGGACCAACAGAGGCTTATTTATAGTCATTTCGGTTGTGCACCATTTAGCAGAATTTTCGTTGGTGGCGGTCAAGGTGGTCCCCGCCTGCGATGCTTTCCATCAACATTTATAAATTATATTCAGTAAATTTGTATTCAAAATAAGTTTCTGTTTATTTAACTATCGATTACGAACACATATTGTAGTGTATTTTAATATAGGTATTGTTTAAACGGTATTACATAATTAGTTTTTAGCATTTGATTGATCAATATTATTGTGGGGCTTGTTTTACTCTTTTTTTAGTGTGCAGTCGGGTATTTTGTTTTTTTAATAATAATTTTTTTATTTATAACTTTTTAGCTGTTTTTATTTCGATATATACAAATAGGGATATATCGAATAAAATCGCTATTTAGAGACGACCGTCAACGACGTGTGCCCTCATGCGTGTGCCCGCAATCGGGCTGTATACTCGAGCATATCCCCCTCCGCACCGCGCCGCGCGCCGCATGCCAGGCCACGCCCTATCTTTTTGCTTGCTAACGCATGAGTTGCTTTGCGTTGACGCAGAATTAACATGTTCCCGTGGGAATTTTGAGAAAAAACGTATCCTATATTAATTACTCCCGTGATTGAAATGAATCTAATGATACCGCATACATATTTTTTTAAAGGGAAATTTAGAAAAAATATTATTATGTCTTTATCCCGTGGGACTTTTAGGATAAAATGTATCCTATGACACTCCCGTAATCAAGACAAATCTAACGATACCTCATACATCAAAATCCATCAAGCCGTTTAGGCTACAGGTGGTCACAAAGGAAAAGACATACATACATACTTACATACACTCGAAAAACATTACCCTCCTTCTTTGGCAGTCGGGTAAAAAGTGGGTGTTACATTGTACAGTGGCATTAAGTGCCGTAATGTAAACCTATGACTACTCCTTCGGGGATAAAAAGGAGTAATGTTATGTTATGTTGTCATAAAGACATTGAGATAATAGTCGTTTATTGACAAGGCAGTTATAAAATAAATTTTAACTTACCCAAGCAAATCGTTTACTCCAGCAAATGTCATGACAGCGGCTGCTACAAGCATGTCAGCGATAGCTAACGATGCAAGGAATAGGTTGCCGATGCGTCGCAAACCTCGATCCGTGTATATAGCGATGCAAACCAGTATGTTCCCAGCAACACTTAGGAATATTAGCAGCGATAGGAATATACCTGTGGACAAGGAATTGTGGTATTTAGTACATAACAAGGTGGTACTAGTTGTTAAAATTGTGTTTATTGACTGAAAAACCACATAGTTTAAGATTTTTTTAATTGTGGCCCCACACTCTGAGGGCCAAGCACGAATAACTATCGCATTCGTATCGTAACAGTATCGAGCGAGTTAAGCGTTCTGATTGGTTGGTTCACTTGAGCCGGCCAATCAGAGCGCCGAACGCCCTCGATACTATTACGTTACGAATGCGATAGTTATTCGTGCTTGGCACTCTGGTTTTATCCAGTAACGTGCGCAACACAGTCATGTTTAATATAAAAACATGCATATAAAATACACATGTCACATTTTCAAGATATATTTATTTAGTTGCTGGAGAAGCGGGCGTTTTCAACCTCTAGGCCACCACGACACACCACGGCATACGGCATGCAGCGGGTTAAATCTTTGTACAAGAATCTTCTACATGTAAAGTAACAAAATGTTCATACATAATTATGTTTCAAAAGTTAATAAGAGACGTATGTACAGAAAGTCTTACAATAAGTCTTGTTAAAAGTTTCTTAAAACTTAATAAGCGTAAGAAACCAAGTATCGTCAAGAAATGAATCTGCTAGTTTAATAAGCTACTATTTTACCAACTTTTGAGTTAAGTAATAGGGAGTTAAATATTGCTGGTTTAACTTTTGACTCTTTTGATCATAGTTTTAGAACTTATATTGCAATGTTTAAGACAACCTTTTATAGATATGATTTTATATGTCTGTCTTTTGTGAATGCAACATTATTGAGCAGTGTTTGTTTAAGACAAAAAATATAATTTAAACCTTGTAAAGGAGCAATTCTTGTATATATATAAGACTAAATCTCATGGTTTAGAATTAAACAAATCTAATGCGTTGCTTCTTAAAATGAAGAAACGACATTTAATGTTTTATTCTTCCATAAATTCTTTAACACAAAATTCTTATAATATTGACGTTTAAAAACCACAGACTATTTGAAATTAGTAATTAATTCAAAATTAAAAAAAACCTTTTTTCTTTACATATACGTATTAACGATCTCGGGAATGACTCCAACAATTAAGTAAAAACGTGGGTTACTCACGTGAATATACTGAGAAAAGCTCTACTACCGCGTTTTTACTTAATTTAGTATGCCTTACGATAGTTATTATAAAATCATAGCGACTCCAACAATTTTGAAATATTGTGTAGCTTTCTAAGCCTTAGGATCTAGCTACTATTGATTTTCAGAAAATTATCTCGGCTCAGTCATCCAGATACTATAGCATATGAATTGAATAAGATTTATGTTTTCTTATGTACTGCTGCCTAGTTGGCCGAGTAGTCACAAGTGCAACTGCAGGGTAAGGGGTTTCGGGTTCGAATTCCGGGTCGTGCAAAGTACTAGTACTGGTTTTTTAAAACTTCTCAGTGGTAGCACAGAGTCTGGAATTATGTCCGCTATATAGCAATAGGCTCACCCCCTATTACATGGGACTCATAATATAAATAGTGAAAAAAGAGGGTGTTACATTCTACAGTGGCATTATGTGCCGTAATGTGCACCTCTGTCTACTCCATAGGGGATGAAAGGCGTGATATTATGTTATGTGTTTTCTTATGTTTCATTAGGCATTAAAACGTTAACTTAATTAAAGTTAAATCTTTAAAAACTTAAACCAGAATCCTAGGTCACCATCCAGTAAGTAAGTATCGTTGACACGTCACCACACTTACGAAGATCAACGCGATACGCTACCTGCAGCAGTTTGTTAGTTTCAGGAAATTGAACCGCTTAGCGCTGAACGAGGCGCGAAATAACATGGAAGTAGGGAAGTATTTGCACGCTCTAACAGAGAGAACCTCTGTGTAAAGATAGTGTATATGTTATATAATTTCCCTTCATTTTCGTTTTGACTTAAGAAGGAGTTTCTGTTTGGTTATAGGGAAATGAGATGGAGTCTTTGGAATTGTATGACGTAGATTACTTTTTTAACTTAATGATCCTACGGGAGCTAGATGTATTTAAGAGCAATCTTTCAAATTCTATAGCATGATTAAAGCTCTTTGTTAGAAAGCTATAAAAACTTCTACGTAGTATCCTCTTGTTGAGATGTTTAACTTAAATTTATTCTCTGTTAAAAACTACTTAAGTACTCTTTAATGAGTTGCCTATATTGTTTTATTAGTATGTTTAACTTTTTTGATATGTACGTACGTAAGGGTTCGTCAAAATTGTAAGACTTATTTCATATCAGTTGTATGTCTCATATTCGAGACTATATTAAGTAAAAACGCGGGTTACTCACGTGAATATACTGAGAAAAGCTCTACTAGTTTCAGTATATTCACGTGAGTAACCCGCGTTTTTACTTAATTTAGTATGTCTTCGAGACTATACTCCAAAATCTTTCACAATCATTACTATTATAGAAGATATCGAAATAGACCCCAGAAGAAAAGGGATGCATAAATAATTCAATAATATTGAACCGCAGGGAGAGATTTTCTATCCTCTCATAACCTCCTTGAAATGATAAGCGATCAGTAAACTATATTCAAGCTTGACTCAATATGGAAATAAGATTCCTACGTGCGTCATAACAGAAACGCCTTTAGTGGCAATACAGACATATCGCGGTACCCTTATTTAATATTTAGGTAATCGAGGGTGACATGCTATTGAAGATTGATCAGAATTTTTTGGAGGAGTGTTATTCTATACTAGTTCTCAAAGAAGGCTAGTGAAAAATTGACTACATGAAATGCATTTACAGTCAGTCAAGGTTTATTAAGGATATGAGTCCATTACCACAAGCATACTGGATGTAATTTCAAACTTTATGTTACACTAGCAGCCCGTCCCGGCTTCGCACGGAGTAGACTATTTTTTTTTTCAAAATGAAATGTAGCCTATGTCAAATTGGAAGAATGTAGGATTCTATTGGTGAAAGACAAGAAGAAATTTTTTTAAATCGGCCCAGTACTTTTTGAGCCTATTCATTACAAACACAAACATACAAAAATAGGTACAAATCTTTCCTCTTTATACTATTTGTATAGATAGATAATAGATAAATTTTAATAATTTGACATAAAGAACCACGTAGATTTAAGCCGGGCTTGATAAAAGAACTCAAGACTTCTTGCTTGATAGTCGAGTATTGCAATTGCAAAGAGATTTCTAAATGAAAAGTTGTATGAGTCACAATACATCTCAGTCTTATCATTGTCTGGGCTTTTTCAAAGTCAGTCAGATAGCATGAAAAGCATTTATAATGAACTTGTAAATTCTATAAGAATTACTTGTTCAGTGATCTGAGACACGTCTCGCTGAGTGCTCAGTCGGGGAAAAAACAGGCGTAATGTAATAATATCAAGTGTATGAAGAAACCTGCGGGAAACTTCTTAACTTACCTTGTAGATATAGGTGTTTTTGTATCCACTGATAATTGTGACATGTTTTTTAGTACAATAAGTATATATTGTGGTAAATTGTTTCAAGTGTAGGAGAGCCATGTTTCGGCGCGAATGGGCCGGCTAGACCGTAGTCATACCACGGCCTCACAGAAAATCGATGTGAAACAAAGCTTGCGTTGTGTTTCGTCGTATGAGTGAGTTTACTGGAGGTCCAATTACCCTCTGCCCAGTCTCTCCAATCCTCGAATCTCCCACATTTCTTAAATTCCCAATTCTCAAAAGGCCGGTAACGCATTTGTAACGCCTATGGTGCTTTAGGTGTCCATGGGCGACGCCGATTGCTTACTATCAGGTGATCCGCCAGCTCGTTTACCGGCTTACCCCACCAAAAAGTATTTTGAGTTTAAAAATTAACTGAATAAAGATCCTAATCCTAAGATCAGGACGATGACGCAAAAAATGTACCTAAATAGATAAAAAAATATCCAACAGGAATAAAACAATTTTAAATCTTATGTTTCATAGTTATTAGGTAGAAAAAACAAGGAAAACCGATTTCACTTATTAGAATTCTAATTCTAAATCGACAAATCTACTTAATTATAACAACGGTAACATATTTTAGAGCTGTAAAGACTATTAAAATTGGCTACTTTTCGACCTTATAACATTAAGCCAAATACATGGCCACGATACAAGACGTCAATCCACTTCCATCACCACACACAGAGACAGACAGACATACTCATATTATGTAGGACTAACAGGCAGGTATTAGGTTTTAGGCATTACATTTGAGTACTAACCGACAAGCAATATGGACAGCAACGTGACAGCGTCCGGGTCATCTCCATCGTCATATTCCACCGTCGTCTCGTTAAACTGAAGCGCCACCTACGGACAACATATGAATTATTCAAATGAAAATATTGGAGGCGATGGGATGTAGGTTTATTGAGTTGGTATTGGTTTTGTATTGGTGTTAGTATACATAGTTTTGTAGGTACGTCTTCTAACATTTTGAGTTAAACAACATTATTACTAACCTATGTGTTCTTATGTATTACCACGATATAAGCAATTAAAAAACTGCAATATAATATTATGGCTAGTAAAAAAGCTTTCCTTCCCTTCTCCAGTCTCCCAATGTCCCTAATCCCTGAATTCCCGACAGTCGTCAAATTTCTAATCCCCAAAACGGTAACGAACTTGTAACGCCTCTGGTATTTCAGGTGATCGTGGGTGACGCCGATCGCTTACTATCAGGTGATCTATTTGCTCGTTTACCGGCTTATATCATGAAAAAGTGGTGTGCAAATTCATTTGGTGCAATTTCAACATACCTAATTGTCATCATCATTATCCTATGACAGTCTTTTAACAAGAGAGATTTGCCAGAGTCTTTGCATTTGGTAGACGATTCGAAAATTACAGGTTGCTAAAGAGTGGTACAGTTCAGTCTCTGTCACATGTGTAATCTCCATTTCATCTCATGTAATCTCCATGTGTAATCCCATACACGGACCTTACGACACCCAGGTGAAGTGCAGGGTATATAATAAAAGTATTCTATTTTGTCGACACCACACGATTTATATTCTCCACAAAATCCTATCAGTTACGAAGATTTTTGTTTCAACATAAAATAAACCAACATTTTGCACTTATTCATATTCATTTAAAGCCATTCTCAATTGCAGACTCATTCAGCGACACTTGTAATGAAAACTTTTACCTTTTTGCTGCAAAATATTATTATATTGAGGTCGACTCATTATTTTATCATCCATTCATAAAATAAGTCAGTTTTAATACGATTAATTTATATTTTGTTATTATTGATGGAGTGGCTATTAAAATTATAGGTAAATTATGTTATAGACTGCCTCGTTGGCCGAGTGGTCGCAAATGTGTCTGCCAGCCAAGGGGTCTCGGGTTCGATTCCCGGGTCGGGCAAAGTATTATTGGGTTTCAAAAAAAAAACACCGTACTTGCACTGAGTCTGGAATTGTGCCCGGTATATGGCAATAGACACACCTCCTATTACATGGAACTCATAACATAAATAGTAAAAATTGGGTGTTAAATTGTACAGTGGCATTAAGTGCCATAATTTGCACCTCTGCCTACCCCTTCGGGGATAAAGCGTGATGTTATGTTACAATAATAATCGTTGAATACCTAAGATTGTACCGTAACTCCTTCACAGTTTAAGCAAGCAATTTAACCACATGTTGCGAAGCCAATATCGAATGTTATTAAACTTAAATAACTTTAGTTTAGTTTGAAGATTTCAGTTAACTCATAACTGGATTAGTAAAGCGATATGCCAATGGAAAATGAACTTTAAGTGTATCTATTATATGGCATAACGTAATTAAAATAGGATCGTGGGGTATTAATAATCAAAATTATGTAAGTAGTTATTTAAGTTTTGATAGTTTTAGGCTTGTCGGATGTTTAGTGACGTTGACGTCTAAGTAGTGTAATTATGTGTTTGTTTGGCTTATACTCGTTGTTGTTATAATCACCGGGGAAACATTTTAATAGATAATCTATTCGTAAAACTACACCTTCTACTATTTCTAGTAGCGACAGATACGTACAACTTTTCAATCTTAGTTTTATTTTCGTGTTAAGTAGTAAATCTTTTGCTAACTAGCGGAGGTAATCTTATAAATATATTTAAATCCCCCTTTAACAATATAAACAAAAATTGCAATAATATCATAAACTTGTTCACAGTTCCATGCTACAAACTAAAGATGCTACGCCGTAGCAATCAGTGCGCTACGTCGGCTACGCTGACTACGCCGTCGTAAAATGTCGACAAAATGTAGTCTTTGCACGTATTTTACTAGTTTTACAAAAGTTGCAGTATTCGTATAGGTAGTTAGACCTGATACCTAATATCACGTCTAAGTTCTCTGAAGTGACAGGCGATTTTAATAATTTAAGGTCATCTCACGTGGAGGACTAAGGGGGAGCCCTTTGTCCAGCAGTAGACGTCTTTCGTCTGTTGATGATAATGATGATGATGATGATGAAGGTCATTTCACACTCAATAAGCACGGCTCCGGTACGGCTCAAGCACAGCTCGGATACGTTGTTTTTTGCTTCCATAATGATGCAAAATGTGCGCACGAGCGGCTGGCCTACAGCTTTCCTATATTGACGATATGAAATAAATATCATAAGACATACGATTTAAAGTTCATATTTAAATGACAATGACATTGCTGGGTTGGAGACGTACCCGAGCCGTGCTTGTTAGATGTGGGACGATTTTTAATCGCAGAGTAATAAATTCTTTGTTGCACTTGGGCATAAAATGTGGATGACTTTATAACCCCTACTGTTCTGTTAGATCTGAGGTGGAACTGAAAGATATCTAGGCGATTAATAATGTGGATTTTGTTTTATATATTTGCATTGTTTAAATAAGATTTTAGTTTAATGACCTTCGGATTAGATTCTCCACGGGGACGAAGGGGTGTAGTATTAAACTTACATTAGTAGGTAAAACAGAGGCGAACTCCATTTTATAGAAGTTGGCTCCACCGGTGCTTGTTCATCCTCAGGTCTTGGTGTCGACCTTTATAAGAAAGTTGTCCAGCTGGCTGGGTATCCTCCGTGCCACCTGGAGGAATGCCATCGTGAGTCGCTCTCACATATCTGGAACAAGAGAAAAAGAAGGTTTAGATAGTATATTCACTGCCTAATTTATTAATAAAGAATTTTAATTTTAATTTATTAACATAAAACAACAATACTCCTTTTATCCTCGAAGGGGTAGGCAGAGGTATATTATGTCACTGTACAATGTAATCACTTTTCCCTGTTTATGTTATGAGTCCCATGTAATAGGGGGTGAGCCTATTGCCGTATACCGGGCACGATTCCAGACTTCGTGTTACTACCTTCTGAGATTTTTTTAAAAATATTCAGTAGTACGTTGCCCGACCCGGGAATCGAACCCGAGACCCCTCGCCCGGCAGGCGCACTTGCGACCACTCGGCCAACGAGGCAGTCGTTTTTATTTATTTATTTTATTTAAGCCATTAACTGATAACTATCATAAATGTGAAAATAAGTTTTTAGTGACTCCTTAACGCTTTAATCCACCATAAACCAATTGGTAGCCGAGAGTATGGCAAAGGAATTCAAGGTAAGCAAGACAAGTCCCTTAAAAAAAATCCTAGTTATTAGAAATCAGACAGATAATCAATTTAAACTGACCTATCATATTTCCTTAACAGATTTTCAGCCTTATTACAAAACAATAAAGTTCGTAATAGGTATACTAAAACTATGACAGGTTGAGGTGCGTGTTTCGCACAATACAAATATATTTTGCCAACTATGTATGTTATCCAGAAATAAAATATTCTTATCCTTAAGTGGTATATAAATTGTACAAGTAGCTGACCCTCTTAGTCCATACAAATACCATATGACCCAAATAAACTTCTGTATGAACCTTACGGGCTTATTGTCAACGAAACCTATACTTTACTTATAGTCATTTAAGGTATTTTCTAGGAAAAATGGACTTTCTGTTACTCATATTAGTGTATCGTTATTTAGGAAAAAATTGGTTGTTCACATTTTTTTAATATGTTGTTAGTAAAATTTGAACACATATGTGGTATATGGCAATAGGCTCACCCCCTATTACATGGGACTCATAACATAAATAGTGAAAAGTGGGTGTTACATTGTACAGTCGCATTAAGTGCCAAAATGTGCACCTCTGCCTACCCCTTCGGGGATAAAAAGGCGTAATGTTATGCATGTTATATATGTATGTAAAATTTGATAGTAAGTAAGTTAATAAGTAATAATAATAAGAATATAGTCTAATAATAATAAGAATAAATCGCTGGGACTAGAAGAATAAGTGATGTGTTAAATAGGGAGGTATAACAGAAGAAAGGGGGACATTTATAATACCGAGTGTCTGTGAAACTAGTTTGAATATGGTCAAGGTCGTGTTTTAAAGATAACTTTAAACTTACGGGTTCAAATATTTCCCACGATTTTCAACCTTTTTGTTCGGTTATAGAATCAAAAGTTTATTGCAGGCATCATTTGATAAATTGAAATGCTGTAAACATGTGTTGGCAGTTCGTCAATGATGTCCAATACAAAATCTATATATATAAAAGAAAGTCGTGTTAGTTACGCTATTTATACCTCAAGAACAACTAAATCGATTTGGATGAAAATTGGCAGGGGTGGTAGCTTAGAACCAGGAAACGGACATAGTAGTAGGGGAGCCCACGATGCTAAATTGGGATTTACTTGAGCGTCCTTGGGACCTACTGGATTTTGAAGATATGCTGATAGAAAGAAGAAATGGTTTAGTGACAATTTCTTCCACCAGTGGGGGAAGGGGGAATCTACAGATCTTTGAAATTGTTCAGCGTAACTTTTGTTCTATTGGTCGAGCGTGTCAGATACTGATAATGTACATGCTCCATGTGTATTTAATAATAAAAAACTCTTAATCTGCCAGTTTGCATGGTGGGGTTGAATGTTCTGGAGAGTACAAACGAGAACCCTTCAAAATCCCCCCACTCTTGCAAATCAAGTTGGAATGGGCAGATTTTTTAAACGCACTTCCTTTAGCACGGTATTGACCTACCTTCCCTTAATCTGACGAAACTGACTTTATTTAGTCAGACTTTTTTTTAATTTTCAGTCCCCCCCTTCTAATCAGATCGGATATATGTTGGGTATATTCAACATGACACTAGGTTTTCCCCATATGTTAATCTGACGCGCTCGAGTAACTACCGAAATCCCTTCATGGGCTCCCCTACTATAGGATACTTTTTATTCAATACTTTTTTTACTTTTTACCGAAAATCACGAACGGGAACGGGGAAAAATGGGATTCCGCGTACGAAGTCGCGGACAGAAGCTAGTATTATTTTAAAAAGAGAAATGTTGTGTCTGTGTAGTACGTATAGAAAATTGCTTATTATTATTTTGCTAAAGACCGTGTAGCACATTTCCAGCTAAATGTTTATGTATAATTCAATGTCTAGAAACATTTACTGGTTTCCAAGTATAGGATCGATGTACGACCTATTTTCTTTTTACCTCATTTACCTAGTTTTTCATTTGTGAATTGAAAATTGTTTTTTATCAGAGACATTGTACCTAGAACATACTTTTTTGAAAAGAGTAACGAATGGAGTTTGTTGCTCGTTCTTCTACATTCTGGAATGAGCACCTAGCTTCACCTAGCTTCACTGACAGACTGATTGACAGACTATTATTTATTTTGTATTTGTTGACGTTTCAAAAGTACCAAATTATGGTTTAATTGAAATAAATGCTTTGACTTTGATATCGCTATAGGACTGCCTGCCATTGGCTGAGTGGTCGCAAGTGCAAGTTTTTCACCATAAGAATTTTTTCAAAGGAACTGTGGATAACTCGTGTAATATTTTTTTAAACGTTGCCCCACATTAGTATCCTTACCCTTATCGTGAGTGCGTTTACAAATATACAAGTTTCCATACACATGACACCCTCATTATAACCATACTTCTGTAAAGTTAAGCCATGTTTAGCAGGGTTAGTCTATCGATTAACGACATCTATCGATGGGTGTCAATTGTTTATTTCGTACTGTTATGAAACTTACCATCTCTGATTTCAAATAAATGTCACGGCTGTAAAGTACGAGGGTAAAATACGTTCATTGGTTATTGGTAAAATATTTTAAAATTAAAGTAAAACTCTATAATGGGTTCAAAATATTAGAAACACATAGAAAAATACGTGCAAAAACTGAATAATATAAAGAAAACTTTATTCATAATAACAAAAATGCAAAATACAAAAATATATACTTAAGTACGTACAATTGATCGTGCATAATTGGGTAGTTTCCAGAGTAGCAAAATTAAAAATATAGTAGTAGTGTTAGTAATCGTCAGTTAGATAATGAAAAAATATTAAACACCTATTTTTTACA